CGCGGCATGTGGGATCCTCCCGGACCGGGGCACGAACCCGCACCCCCTGCATCGGCAGGCAGACTCTCAACCACTGCGCCACCAGGGAAGCCCAATCAATATTTTAAAATAAGACATTTTACATTCCTTTATCCATCTTTAAAATCAGCTGTGTATTTTATACTCACAGCACATGTCAATTCAGACCAGCCCCATCTCAAGAATTCAACAGACACCTGCAGCCTGTGGGGGGCAGCTCCACGACTCCACCCTAGATCACAACTAGGGACTGTGGAAAAACTGTCCAATGTTAGAAACATTCACAGTCCACAAGCTTCAACTTGTAACTTGAAATTACACCCAGACTGCTTACCTTAAAGATGATAAAACTATCAGTTAAATATATGAAAATAATTTCCATGAATTCATAATTAACTTGCAGCAGTTTTCTCTTTCCTTCCTCTATATTCGATCTACCCCATGTCCAAATCTTGACTCCAGATCAACTAGGTGACTTTGTGAGCGCCAAAGGAAACAGCAGTAAGAGTAATGATGATAAGCAGCGGCGCGTCTGAGTGCTTCTCTACGCACTGAACACTGTTCCAAGTCCTTTACATGGATTAATTCGTTTAATCAGAGAATGAAGCAATTCAAGCTCCAAGATATCAATCACGTTAACAACAGATACTTTAGGCACAACTTTCTTTTTTTCTCTCCACAATACCCCAACGTTCCATTTTGTATACATACACATCTTTATGGTTTAACGTTATTTCAAAATGTCTGCTCCCTGTCCATACCTAAGCACTTCCTTCTGCCACATATTTCTGGCATTAATAGTATTCAACTTAGAACTTTATTTCACCTTAGCTTCCACTGTTTTTACAGTGGTTTTACCCAGAGTAAAATCTCTTCTGCAAAACTGCTGACTCCTCACAGCCCAGCACCACATCATACATATACTGTAGGCATTGATACCAGCTCCCTGGCCTGACTTCTTCCATCTCCCTCTCTGCTACCTGGAACACAGTGCTCACCACACCAGGAGACACACGACACAGACTGAGTTAATACCGCCGCCTAACAAACTTATACTCGTTTTTACCCTAATTCCTTATTTAATAATTAAAAAGGTGGGGGGGACTTCCCTGGTGGTGCAGTGCTTGAGAGTCCGCCTGCCGAGGCAGGGGACACGGGTTTGTGCCCCGGTCCGGGAAGATCCCACATGCCGTGGAGCGGCTGGGCCCGTGAGCCGTGGCCGCTGAGCCTGCGCGTCCGGAGCCTGTGCTCCGCAACGGGAGAGGCCGCAACCAACAGCGAGAGGCCTGCGTACCGGAAAAAAAAAAAAAAAGGGAGGGGGGGGCAAGGTCTTCATTTGGGTCCTGGATGAAGAGCCATCTATCACACAGTGTAAGTAACTTTGCATTATGCCAGCAAACACGATGCTGGGTTTGTGCTTTTATCAAATTCTCAGCAACAATCACTCAGTTTCTCCAACCACTCAGCAGGCTCCTCTCAGAGAAGAGCAAACACACAGGCAGCCCCTGACCCTCCTTAGTTTCCCGAGATGCCCAGGGGAGGCCCGAGCAGGACTCGGGGTACCTTGCCAACTGACGGTCCCAAGCTTGAGGGCACCACGGGGGAATGTGGGGCCGCGCCTCCTCTCATCAGAGTAACATCTCAGCGACGGACCAGCTTCATCTCCACGTGAGCAGAAACCGAAGTCCTCTGTGAACAGGAAAGAAGACTGCAGAGGCTGCTCACTAAGGTTAGATATCAACGACCTCACTCTCGACCCCGAAACGTAGGAGAACAAAGCTACGTACCGATTTCCTGTCTGTCTGTCTCCCTAATGCAGACTTCCAGAAAACAGGCATCAAGTCAGCTCTTCAACAAGCACTGACGTTCATCACCGCCCCCCACCCCCGCACGTGACGCCGGCAACGACGCGTGGAAGCAAGCAGAGCAGGTGCCTCTAACCCTGTTCTATGGGTCGGTACCTAAGGACCGCAGGCGGTAGGCGAACTCCCCGAACGTTCAGAATCCGCCCTTCTTCCACCTCGTCACGACATCCCGCCAGTGCCGAAACGTTCAACACTTTATTTCTCCCCTTTATACACTTCAAGCATTAAACGCTGCGCAATAAACTACCTGTGAGGTGAATAAAAGAGCGAGCGCCTCCCCAGCCGCGCGGACACCCGGCCCGCCGCCCTACCTGGGGTACGGGGAGGCCGCCGCCGCCTCCGCCGCCGCTCCGCCACGTCCGGCCGCCGGCGCCCGGGCTGAAAGAGAGCGACGGAGCGGTGACCAGGGCGTGCCGGGCCGCCCGGCGCCCCCGCCCCACACAACCGGCCTGATCCCGGGTCCCCGCCCCCGCCCCGGCGCAGCGCCCCCTCCCTGCCGCCCCGACACGTGCGCCGGGTCCGCGCACAGAGGCGGCCACCGCGGATCCAGCAGGACGCGCGTCCACACTTTTCGGCTTGAAGCCGGCTCGGACTCGCCGCTATGGGGCGGGACCGAGGCGGTTCCAACCCCCACGCAAGTCACAGCCGGGAACGC